GTGCCCATTTTCCTACTAAGTGATTCACATTTTGCCACTTTACTAGAGTGCAATTAGCTGAAGCAGGAAAAAAAATGCTCAATGTAAAGCAGCTCGGCTGAAATTGTTACTCAGCTCTTTAACAGGATCTGGTGAAAGTCTTGAGGTGTCGTGGGCATTGATGCAAGAAGCAACATTTTCATTTCTTTCCACACATTTTTTTCTCTCTTCCATTCAGAGAAGCAGAGTATGGGAAATCACTGGAACATGCTGCACGGTTTTTTGTCTGCTGATATTGGTACAGACCTGTGAAATCATACAGAAAGTAAGCACAGTATTTGAGAGGAAATGTGGTCTTTACAGTCGAAGCAAGGAGCTGGCTTCCACTTTTGACTCTGCTAGAGACTTACTGTGTCACTTAGACCAAGACTTTCTTTCATGCATTGGTTTTCATAGTTAACGTATGAGGTTAACAAGACCTTTTTGGTCGACATCCATCTGATTTAGAGGAATGTATTGGAGGAAAATCAGATGGATTACACTATTAGTGTAAAAGTACCTAGATGTGCATAATAACGCCTGCCTTGTTGATGCTCCCACGTAGCTGTCATTAAAAATGTCATCTGATAAGAACCAATTCTGACATTTATGGAAATGGGCTAATTCCCTCTTCAAGAAAAGAAAAACTTCATGTGCAGGTAAAAGTGGACTTTTATGTTGGTCTATAATAAACGTGGTCACTGTAATTATTGTGACTAATTATGACTCACTGAAACCACCAGGGCAACTCTGAAGTAGTGAATGATGCTGTAAGCAGAGCTTTTCCTACTTGAAAAGCAAGCATGAAACGTGTTCATGGATTGTGAATTATTGGCATGTTCTTTTGACCTCCTTTAGGTATTGGTAATAAGAGAGAAGAGGGGAAAAGTAACTTTCTGAACCAAGTGCATGTATGGATGGAATATAAAAAGCTCCTAGGGGCTCGAATGGGAAGGCTTTCTTTTTTTAAGGCTATATACTGTAATCAGATGCAGTTAATTTTTGTACTCCACTTGTATATTGATACTGATTTAGCCAGTGTCAGCACTGTCAATATGATTAGTAATGTGGCAGGTAGATGGAAATAGGAATGTGATTGCATTAATAAATTCTTAATATATTCAACCTTTCATAAGCACATGGCATTACAATTTATTCGCTATTGTTTAAGACCATTTTAAAGAAGGAGTTGCATATTGAAGTGCTCTGTCATTGTACCTTTCTGCCAGCAGTGACTGGCTTCAGGTCTTTCTTAAACGAAGAAGTTGTGAAGTAAATTCAGTAGACATGTGAAGAGTCATGCTATATATTGCATATTACTCAAGCCTTGCAGTACCCTATGTAGTTTTTCTTGTATATGGGCATGGAAATGCTTCTAGAGCCAATTAGTTACTTTCCCTATAGTTAGTGAAAGGAAAGTTTACCCAAGAGATACCAGTTGTTAGAAAACTTACTGAGAATAGCCGACCACAAATGGAGCTGCCATTTATTTGACTTAAAATCTAGTAAAGAAAAAAAACAACCCTACCAATGCTTTAAAATAAATACTGTACATTTTTATATGACACATGTTATTTCTATTCATAAACCTTAACTAAATTTAGATTTTTATTAATCCAATGTGACCTAAAAATTTTGCATTAACAGCACAATGTGGAATTGGGCTTATTCTCTTTGAATGCAGATAAAGCCATCATCTTGAAAATAGCTCTTTCTGACAAAAAGGTGTTCTTTTGAAATAAAGTCTTATTCACTACATTCCTCTTAGAGTTAATGTGAATTTTAGTGCCTCTAATTTTAGATTGAAGTGAGGTCTAGAATAAAACCCACTGGCTGACAATTGAATTTATAGATAGTTGTGAATATTTCAGGCTTGAATAATAGAGCTGTAGAATTTCAGACACAGAGAGGAAGAGAGAATTAAGCTCTAACTGTAGTTTTACACTATAATGCAATGGTGTCTAGGAATGCTTCAGTGTAACGAGCTAAGTAGTAATTAGGAGAGAACTGAGGGAGGGATTTTACAGGGATCTAGCTTAGGCATTATTCCAAATGTTCAGCATGATAATTTGATGGTGGTCCCACCTGCCATCCGTATAAGATGGCTCTTGAATTACTTTCGTTCAGATATGGTACAGTAACGGAGGAGTGAAAGCAGTAGGTGTCGGTTGCCCACCCACAGCTAATACCCGGCCTTGTCTCTGGTTCACCTTCTTTGGTGTTCTCAGTTGGGCGCTATTGTTTTTGCTTTTCCTTGGAATGGTTAATGTTTTAACTGCATTTGTGCTTTGCCAGCATGCACCAGTCCAGTCTGTACCATTTAAGCTGTAGCCAAAAGCAGCTCTATCTTGGTTAGTACCAGAAACTGCTACTTCAGAAGCATCAGCAGACTGGCTTTAGCCTAAGCAGCACTGGTGATCAGATTTTAATGCTTGTAGAACTGAGATTATATTTTGGTTCTGACCGCTTGGAGTGGGAGATAACCACTTTTGCACTGGCTAAGACAACATGCATTTGGACGACTAATTAATTGCAAATGGTTTTTCTGGGAAGGGAAGGGTGACATTTGAGCTCATTATTGCACAAATTAGAAGAAATCAGCAGTGGGAGTCTTAGACAAGAACGTCCCATCAAGCTGGTTATGGCAGACTGTAGGCAGTGACTCCTATTGCTGTATGTTGAGACTTTATATGCAGAGTCTCAGGAGCAGGGAGATGAAAAGAAGACCAAGTACTTGTTTAGTCAATAAAAGGGCCTTAGTGTTAGTGTATAGAAAAATAACGTAAAAAATAAGTTTGTAGAATGTGAAAGTTAATTGATATTTTTAATTGTAGCTGTATAAAATTCAGTGTCAAAGAAAGAGGGGAGAGAGAGACAGAGAGACACCATGTTTTAGTACCCTAATAACTTCTAACTCTAGTCTAAGATCGTAATGTATGTGAGAGGGGTCCAGTAATTATAAGGTAATAAGTGGAGTGGTGGTGTAAGTGCTCTAAATTAAAAGGAATTTGCAGAGCTGCTGTAAGTCAGTGCCGACCCGCTTTCTTTCAAACGTTGACTTGAGAAAAGTGCTTAGCCCAGAGTGCAAGTAGAGAGACAAGAGAGAGCTATCTATTAATTACAGCACTCATTAACAGTGACGGCTACAAGGCAGCAGATGCAGAAGAAAAGGCGCACGCTACTGCAGGCTGGCAAGGGGATTTCCCCCCCTCCAGTTCTTGAGGAAAGGACAGCACAAGCAGGTGGTCCAATGTAATAAGATATTTTCACGGCTTTAACCTTCCCATTTCCTTGCTTTATTTGCTGACACCAGATAGCTTGCTCCTTCCACCCCCCAAATAAGTACTGATTTTAAATTTGGAGGATAACATTACTGCACATCAGTCTGGCTGTTTTCCAAATTCATGTGTCGTTTGTTTCCAATAGAATTTTACAGTAAAAATCACAACAATTGAAAGGTGCTAAATAAGACCCATGGGCACTGATTTTAGGGTAAACCTCATCCTAAGCAGATATCTTTAATGAAGGGTCAGGCTTTGATCTCGGTTAGCCTCACTGGAAAGGAAGCGAACTCTGTGCATTTATGTCTGTTTTCCATTGGTGAATTTGATTCCGGATCTTGAAGCAGAAATTGATATTTTTTAATTTCTTTTTTAAACATGGAAAGGTGAAAAAGTGAAGGCAAGATCTCAGAAATTACTTTAGAAAGTTAAGTCAGTCAAATTGTCTGGACTCATGAGTTTGCTTTGAAAACATGAACCTATAGCTCCAGGTGGGTGGTCTTACGGGGTATTTGCTTTTCTGCTGATAATGTTTCTAGAGAAATGCTCATAACTGTCATCTGTGCTTTGGCAGCTTCTGAGAGTACTGTCAGGAAAATGCTGGGTAGGCCATTTGCTACTGTGGTCTCATAACCAGCTGTAGAAAATGAAGATAGTATCTGATTCAGAGCTTTCTAATTATTATTTTTGTCCCTTGTTCTCCCTAAAATATGTTTAAAAATAATAAAAGTCTTGGGGATGGAATAGACAAAGAAGATAATTTTTTGTTTCCCCCTGTAGAAAGCACTAATTTGTCAGATCAAATGTTATATGGTTTTATTTCAGATGCTAAATTCTGAAAATGTATGAACTGAGAAGTAAGACAGAATCTCACCTTCTGAAAGACAAAACTTCTATCTAAAATTTCCTCTAATGTATTTTTTTTAATCCAAGAACAGAACACGTAAAATGTCAGGTCCTATAGAGCTGCAGATATATGGGATAGTGGCATAGTTATTACTGGTTAGTCTGAGGATAATGGCTAGAAAGTAATTGCACCCTGAGCTGATGAATCATTTCACTTAGATTTTGTGAAAATGGAGTCCAGCCTTAATTATTTGTTAGAGTTCCCAGTTGATGTGCTACTGCGTTACTAAATAGCTGTATCTATAATAAAGCAATATTAATATAGAAGAAAAAAAAAGACTGTGGGAGACTTGCTCTTCAATTCTGGGATCAGATCAATAGATGATGGATATGTGTTTCAGTCAAGTGTCTTGACAAATATTAATTACGGAGCAGAACATTTATGTGATCAAACTTGGAAATATTTGTTCCTGATAATGATGGCATTTACAGAAGGAAAGTACTGATGGAAAAAAGAAGACATTTTTAACAGCCAAGTCATCTAATAGGATTTTGTTAATTTTTTGACTTGCTAGATGGCAAGTTCAGAATTTAGAGTTGATGTGAAGTTGACACATAGCCTAGAGGGCAGGTGGAGGGGACAACAGAAGGATTTGGTCTCTTTAAAGTTTTTGTTTACTGCCTGTCTGCAGCTTTGACAAAGCTCTGTCATGCCCTTATGCTGATTACCTTCATGTAGAACAAGAGGTATTGACTAATGAATGAATGATGTGCAGTCCCTAACCCTTCCGGAGCAGCCTTAAAGAGCACTGTCTTTAATACACAGATTCTTCTTTCTCTCTCTCCCCACTACAGGCTTCTCTGCAGAATGTCAAGCAAAGATCGACACATTGATTCTAGCTGTTCGTCGTACATCAAGACGGAACCGTCGAGCCCTGCCTCTCTGACGGACAGCATCAACCACCACAGCCCTGGTGGCTCCTCAGACGCCAGCGGGAGCTACAGTTCCACCATGAATGGACATCAGAACGGGCTGGACTCGCCTCCCCTCTACCCTTCAGCCACAGGGCTTGGGGGCAACGGGCCAGTCAGGAAACGGTATGACGACTGCTCTAGTACCATTGCTGAAGATTCACAGACCAAGTGTGAATACATGCTGAACTCGATGCCCAAAAGACTGTGTTTGGTGTGTGGTGACATTGCATCAGGGTACCACTATGGAGTGGCTTCCTGCGAGGCCTGCAAGGCTTTCTTCAAAAGGACAATTCAAGGTTGGTTATTCTTTAAACTTCTTTTCTTTCTTTTGCTCAAAGTGAAATAGTACAATCCTTGACTAAATCCAGTTAGGACTTCAGCCTATACCTTCTCATTCTTCATAGTGTTTGGTCCTACAGATTGTTACTCATGAAAAAGCCCTTTTGGGCTTCTTTGGGAGTTCTGTCTGTCATGTTAAGCCCACTGCCACATTTATTTTGATTGTGAAAAACAGAAAAACACGGGAGCCTATCCGGTGCATGTTCAGATTTGTTTTCTGTACGAGTTTCTCGTGGATTCCTGTAAGTGATTGTTGCGAAGAAAACTGATTATTTTCTGAAGGTTGTCATGGATGCCTCTTAAACAAACCTTGTGGCTGGCACACAGGGATTGTGCTTGGGTTTTGCTGCTAGTTACACCACTACCGTACTTAAATAGTTACAGAAATCCAGTTTATTTTTGTTAAAGGAGCAGTGCATTTAAAATTCAAACAAAATGCAATGGTGTAGTGCTTTGTTCATATCAGTGTATTAGTAACTCATCTTTCACCCATATCATATACAGTGGCCTTAAAATGTTCAACAAATATCTGTAAGATCACATTCTAAGGAGAGTAAGTTGGCAGCTTTTGGTCTCTGCCCAGTACTTTGTACTAATCTGCTCTTGGTACCTGTTACAGATACGCCACATATTTTGGCATGAATTAGTACGAATGGGATAATTTGCATGACCACTTGTTCTAGCTTCAGAACCATTGGAGACAAAATAACCTTCTACTTTGATTTAGATATCATCCTTTCAAGTAAAATTGAAGGTGCTTTATTTAAAGAACATGAGGCCAAGCTTGGCCTGTACAGGAATGTAGTGTCACATTAAATTAAATTCAAACTTCAGAGACTAGAATTAGGTTGCTAAGTCCAAATTTAAGCTCCTCAATAAAATCTGCTTGATGTTCATAGATGTTGAGCACCTGGAATTCTCAGGAAAGACAATGCAATCTGGATGTATACTTTTCTTTTTAAAAATGAGTTATGATAAGGAGCATGAAGTTAGTTTCAGTTTGTAATTTCACATAATCCCAAATTTGAAACATTTGGTCAAGGTTTCTTAAATATAGTACTTCCATACTTAATGTAAAATTAGTGAAGAAAAATAATTAATGTTAATTTACTTTATCCATTGCTGAGGCAATGGCCATTTTATTCTCCTCTCATCCATTTTACTACTGGGGGTTTGGGCCTTCTACCAGCACAAAGTACCGACTTTATGATGGCCATATAGCCACTAAAAGGAAACATTAGACTTCAGTTGTTCTAATGGCGCTGAGTGTTACAATGTTTGCAATCAATAAACAAACATACCTGTGAAGATTCCAGTGGCCTGGGTTCATATGTAAAATGAGTGCATATGCAGAAACAGTATGCTCATTTCAAGCCTTTGTTTTGGAAAAAGTGAAAAAAGAGGTAGGTGATTTCACTTGACCTTCAAGAACATTTTCAGATAAGCTCAGAAAATGTTTCCACTGAAGCAATTTTTATTTTGTGGTTGCTAAACTTCAAGCACCAACTTCAACTAGCAGCTCAGTTTTTATAAATGGTATTTAATTGCTATGTAATAGCTGTCCTACAGAACTGAATTGATGCATGATTATTTTAGTTGTATTTTGAGCATGAAAAAATGCCACAGAAATGTTAACTGATTAAAGTGTTGACTTCTGGTAGTAATAGGTAGTCTGCAATTTTACACCGCACCACAGACAGCAAGTTTCTGGGCATGGAAGCACAAGATAGGGATGTCATTCTCCAGATTAGCAACCTGGACTTGGCCATGCAGCTCAACTTAGAACTGGCAGCTGTGCAAAAAGTCTCAGTATGGTTAGAGCACTAGCTGCATCAGCAGGTGACAGTGCTGTGAAGACAAAAAAAAATATGCCGTTAGGCAAAACCAAGCATTGAATGGAAAAGCAATAATGAATAAACTAAGACGAGGAGGTATGTTACCATCATAATGTCGTGGCAGCATCTTCAGTAATGGTGCTGACTAAACTGACACAACTACTAAAAGTTTTCAGATACCTTGCAAAATAATGGAAGGTATTTACTTTGATGAATCAAACCATAGATTGTGGTAAGGTGAGAAGTAGTATATAAGAAAAAGGTACTCCTTGTGTTTTGAATGGGCAAATTCTACCTTTAAGCTTGCACGAAGAAGAATTCCTCTGAGTTTTTTTGCTCTAAATGATAGAATTTAGTCCCGGTGTTCATAGAGGCCATTCTTCCCTGTACCATTTCACTTCCTGGTTCATATCACTTTCATTCTCTGCTTGTTTTTAAAATAAGTTGGTTACTGCATAACTGCAAATAAGAAACCAGGAAAACAGAAAAAACCCAAGAAATTTATAAATACAGAATGCTAAACCAGACTACCTGAAGAGTCAAATATTGTAACTGTGCATATGTAAGGATAACATGTGTTGGCTGAAAGAAGTGCTTATTTTAAATGCTAATAATTTAATTGTGATGGGTACTTAATTATTGATTCAGTGAAAAAGAACATTTGACTTCCCAAACCTTTCTTGTTTATCATTCATGAGTTACTAGATTAGCTCACAGTTTTAGAACCTAGGTGCTATTCCTGTTGAAGCCATGGGCAAAACTGCCCTGAGTTCAGTGAGAGCAAGGCTGAGCTGATAAGGTTAAGATTATGAAGCACATCTTGTGTTCACGTGAGGCCTGATGTCCTTTCCACTAAGTCAAAGGGAGTCTTTCCATTCTTGCCATTTCAAAGGAGTCTTTTGAAGGTGAAAGCCACAGGCAGCTGTTCAGAGAGCCAGCACACCAGCATCTTACATAAGACGGAAGTGAAGTGCATTGCAGGATACCTAGTAGCCTTTTACACAAGGCAAATTTCACTCTAAGGTAGAGTGTACACCTGTTTTTAAGGGTAATGGAGATTACTGTTCTCTTTCAGATGACAGCATTGAGTCTAAAAAATGTCCATTCCTGGCTGATGGATTTCTTTTCTTCTTCTTCCTGCCTCTTGCAATCCCTGCTAATTTTCTTAAAAGTCAAGAAATTAAGTGAACCCTGTCTTGAATTATAGGAAGGAGTAAGTTTGTCTTTTTTGAATATATATTTTTAACATAGCACAGAAATACATTTGGGGCTGTGGTAAAGAATGCATAGATTATGATAAAAATCAATAATATTAGAAAAAATTAGAAACAAGAAATTACCTACCTAAAAAACCCAAAACAAACCCCACCAAAACCCCAGCTCAGTATATAAAATCAGTAACTGCTTAAGTCATAGTAGAGTCTAATGACGTTTTGCCCCCTTTTGTGACATATAAGGGATGGGAGAACTGGATGTTCTCTCTGCTCAGCCTAGTACTTACTCAGCTGCAGCTCTCAGTTTGCTTCTGGGATAATTTACATGGTGGCTGATTGCAAATGTCTCACAGAAACTCACACACAGCCAAATCTCCCCAAAATTGGCTTAACATCAGGGATAGTAGAAAATAGCAATGTCTAAAAATAGTTACAGGTCCATTGATTTTTAGGGTCTCTCCAGTTTTTGCTGTGCACTGTGTTATCTTGAAAAGTCCAAGCTTTCATTAAAAGAGAGAAAAAAAGAATTTTCAGTTGACAGCTGGGTGCAAAGTCCTGTGTTCAGCACAGAGGTCTTGTGCTCACTAGATATTTTGTGGTGAATATTTAGTGTAAATACATTTCTCAATTTTTATTTGCTCAGATATCATAAAGACTAGTAAATACACATTTTGCATTAATAATATGTAATTACTCAGTGCCTGTAACTTAAACATTTCTGCAAGTGGATTGAAATGCTATTCTTGCTTTCAGTAGGAGGATGATAGGACTTAGAGATTCAAAGACAGTTTACTATTTGGTTTTATTTTAGCCTTCATCTCTCTAAAATAATGGCCTGCATCTAGACAACTTTCTTCCTCCATCCTTCCAAATCTTCAGGACTGTCATCTTTGGACTCTTTGAACTAGCATGAAAAGGTAGTGTGAACAGCCTAGGTATTGATATGTTTTCTTCCTGGTAAGGCTTGTTGCAAAAGTGTCAGAGCTTACTATTTCCTTGGACAGTGTTTGAATTTTCCCCACAAAAGCTAAAATATATTGCATTCAATAGTCCTTGTAGTTCTTGGGCTTTGTTGTTTTTTTTTTTTAATATGTTTATTTTTTGTGGAAAAACTGTTGGATAAACAGTATTGAGGCAGCAATCTTCTGTTTATACGCAGGGTGAGTAAAGCAATAGCTAGTAAGAAGCCATGCAGTCATACCCTCACTGTCTCATTTAAGAGCTTTATCCTTGAGAGTTGTTGCCTGTCCATGTCTCCTGACACAAACAAGACATATTCTATGCTGGGAATACTGTTGTCTTTTTGGTCATTACGCGAACTACACCAAGTCTGCCATCTCATTTTATGCTGATCACCTAAGAGCCTTCAGCTTTACAGTTCTGCAGTAACATAGTTCCTATGGTCTTCAATGCCTGCCCAAACTAGGAGCTAGATTAAACTGCTTTGTACTTTCTTCACCTTTTTGGTTACTCAAAGTTGGTTTTAATCCCTTTACTGTTCATGTTTTTGAACCCTCTTTAGAGTGTTTACCCATTACTGAGCCAGTTTGATCTGTAAATGTACAAACACTTTACAGTAAATATATATATATATTTTTTTTAAATTGGGAAGTTTTAATCAGGAAAGTTAGAACTAGCTATGTAATTCAGATAAGGTGACATTTAAAATGGGCAACATGAAGTTTGATTCGAAGTTGGACTTCACCGAAGTGGCTTCCAAAGGTTAATTTGCATCTCAAAGCTGACTCCTATAATACTGCACATCATTTTTGTGGAGGAAATGAAATGAAATTAAGTAAGATTTTACAGCTTTTCAGCATCTTTACTGGTAGCTAAGATGATAGCTTTTTATAGAAAGATAGGGTGGAGGCTTGCATCTTGGTGCAATAGTCTGTGGACCTTGGCTCT